GTGTGTGTGAGAAAGGTCGGGTTCATCCTGTGTACTTGTTCCCGTTGCAGTGACTGTTCCTGCAGCAGGGCATCGTCTTTGTTAACCTGTGGTGTTGCCTAACATTGTATTTCATACTGATCTCGATGTTTTTTCCCCTTTTTTTTGTTTTTGTTTTGTTTTTTTTAATTTATGGGTAGTGTCGATAGAGTTGTGCATTATTATGAAAAATTTTACGTATGATTACATTGATTGTTTGATTGTACATTTAAAACAAAAATATGTAAAAGATTAAATTTTGTTTTAAATTAAAAAGGACAAAAATATTGAAGTTGCACAGGGAGGATGTGTCGGTGTTTATTTGGAGTCTTGTTCATTCTGATTTCTTCAACCAAAAATTATTTTAGGACTTACTTTAACACAAATTCAACACAAACCCTGTGAGTTCTGCTCGAACACTGCATTAAACATGAACTCTCCTCCCCTGTAAATGTGTGAAAACGTCACTAAATCCCTGAAGTTAACAGTTTCCATGGACAGAGAGGGCGAGAGGAGTCAATCACCACAGATTTAACCAGTCATCTTGGTTTCCACGGGTTTCTGTCTCTGGTGTAATACGTCGAGCTATAAGTCACCAAAACAAAATGTCTAAAAGTATCACAATCTGCTTTGCAATTTAAAAAAAAAAGGGGGAAATTGTTGAATTTAAAGCTGCAACAACCCCCCAGAAAGTCCACCGAATTCTGAAAGGACTATAAAAATGTTTTAACCAATTAAAACTCAAGTTTCCTCGCTTGTTCTTGAACTTCAGGACTGTATCTTGCGGCCTTCATCGGCGGATAAAGTTCACTTACTTCAGTTCTCAGCCTGTAAAAACAGTCACACAGGGTCTTCTGGGGGGGAGCTTCTTAAAGTCCGATGGTGTAGATACAAATTTAAAACAAAACCTGTGATAAAAACTGTATCCATGGAGACTTTTCCACCTCTGAAAGACATTTAACGGGATATTTTCTCGTAAAATTACAGCCTAACAGGTCGTTTGTAAGGTGTTTCTATTATTTAGTCCACCTCCTGTACTCGTAGATACACACTCTGCGGTTCTGTTCAACAGTACGGAGTCTGTCTGCAGCCTCATTAGTCTGACAGTGGCTTTACTGTTGGCACTCGGGGGAGGAGGGAGTGGATTAGGAGAAGTTTTATCTCAGAGGGAGGTGATGGGGGAGAATTGGTCTCCTCTTCATAAACACAGAGCGGCCTTTGTAAAAAAAGAAGTTCCACTAGTTTTCAGAGTTTTAAAAGAGCAGCTCGGAGACAATGACAGCGGCTGGAAGAGTTGGACCGCTCCTCGTCTAGTGTCCCGTTACAGAGCGGATCTATTATTCAGTCGCCAACCTGAGACCTGTTCTGCTTTTTGTTCGCCTGCTTCGGTGAAGTGAGAAAAACAAATAAGATTCACTATTTATAATTACTAAACTCAGTTTCTTCAATATCTGTTGGATTGTTTCGGCGGAGATTGAATATAATGTGAATAATTATCTGGAAATAAAGAGTTTTTATCTACGTCCTGGGTTGTTTCTTTTGCGAGTAGTATTCAGTTGGTTGCAGTCTGCATCCTACACACACTGGGTCCTTTAAGCAGACACAGTTTCACATCTTCTGTCCATGTATCTCTGTTTTCTGACTCCGAGGTCGGCGGGTTCGTTTCCTCCTTCGCCGCCGTGTCTCATCCGAGGAGATGAGCTCGTAACCATGGCTACCGCCACCCGGACACAAGGGAGTCGAGCTTACTTTGTTAACGCTCCTCACAAAACACTACAGGGGCTTTAAAAGGTTTGAGAACTGAACGGAGGAGGTATTACGTTACATCTGGTACCGTTACGAGTTTTAATGACACTTTTTTCTGTTTTCTAAGCAGCGTTAAGGGATAATTATTAATAATTATTAATTAATTATATACTTCTAACTGTAAGTCACACTTAATGTCAAAGTATTGTTGAACCTGATTTAAAAAGACACCGCGTACAAACGTAGTTCAGCTGCTCAGACTTGTTTAGTGTTTCATGGTGAATAAAAAGAGACATTAGTCGTTAAATTCAGCTCAAAGGAGGCGGAGACTTTAACTGAAGGTGGTTGTGTGTTTGTGAGACTGACCAAAAAACGTTTTACACAGCACTTCATATTTTATTCCACTACAAAAAAAAAACAAAAACAAAAAAAAAGGAGGCATCTCAAGAGCACCGGTAAAAGCAGAACAGCATCCAGTTCATCTCCGCCAGACTGGACCAGTAGCCAAGCAGAGGGAAGAAAGGAAAGAGTCCTTTTTTAAGTCCCAGAGAGAGACGTCCAACATCTCTACTGTCCTCTTTCACATGCAGCAGAAACACAACCGTACTGTGAAGCCTCTTAACACGATGCTGAGATCAGGTCAGGGGTTCAAGCCGAAGAATAAAACCTAAGACAGCGCACGGCGGAGGAGAAGACTCTTCTCTACGGAGGAGGAAGAAAACAAATCACACCACAACGGGGAATAATAATAATAATAATAATAATACTCTTTAAAATATTTAAAAGGAAACAGACAAAAACTCTACCCAGAGGTGTGTGAGGAGATATACTGTACACACATATATTCACCTGGCTTACTTATTTATTTGTTTGTTTGTTGTTGTTGTTGTTGTGTCTGGCTGTACAATCATGAGATGGTGACCACACTGCCGGTCTTTTTTCAGTCCAGCATGCGTCTGTAGGCGAGCGGACGTCGGACAGTAACAGCGGGTGGATGTGGAGCTTGAGGCAGATTTCTTGAAGTAGTCATAATAAAAACCCCTTAGCACTGTAAGAAACTTAAAAACTGGATAATTATTACCCCCCCAGGAGGGAAGTACCCTAATTCTTTAAATAATAGTCCTAGATATTAAGATTAACGCCACAGGAAACGTCCCTTTACAATTCGCTGCTTGTTACATGAACAGTAATATCGAACAACCCTCCCGTGTACATTCAAGCATGAAGTCCAGAGTGTCTAAAAACGTTATGATTTTATTCTCTACAGAACAGCCGACGTGTTTCAGATTGTTCAGTTTAAAAAGAAAAAGTGATTGTTTTCTTCCTAAAATGTGAAATTAAAAATGTTTTGACCTTTTTGTTTGTTTGTTTGTTTGTTTGTTTGTCTTCAAGTGGAAATGCATAGCAGGATAACTCGTCGTTGGTCCGGGGTGCGTTTGTTTCGTCACACGTGGCTCTCGTAGAACACCTGGCAGGGCGGGGTTTTATTTGCATCTGACGGTTCGGGCGCGGCCTGGATGGTGTCCTCCTCCTCCTCCACCTCCTCTTCCTCCTCCTCCTCCTCAGGCTCAGGCTCAGGCTGCTCTTCTTCGTGGTGAGAAGGAGTCGGCGGTGGGGAGGCGGAGGTGGGAGGAGGCGAGG